CGCCACACAACCAGTGCATCCCTTTTGAGCATACATTTCTTGGATGATATCTGTTGCGGTTTGAGAGGTTGAGACCCCTCAAAGACTGATGTACAAGATGGGGTGTTCTGGAATGAATTCACAGACTGAGGCATTCTTTAAGTCAAGTTGGCAAAAAGTTTATTGTTACGCTTTTCAGCAGGCAAGGATTCTTAAGGAAACTGCAACCTTAGAGTGGTACAGTTAAAGTTTATATAGGATAAAATACAATAAAATATGTACCAAATATGCTAACTAGGTGATTCAGGGTGGGATTAGGGAGTGGTTAAGGAGTGGTCAGTTCTTAAAGGAACATGCCCTTCTTGAACCTACTGCAAGCAGGCATTTTACCCAGAGTTCACTAGGAAAAGCCCACATGGGGGGCCACGTGGAGGTGTGGTTTTAGGCCCGCTACATCACTAAGTTAACTATAGTTCAGGGGTAACTGAGAGTTGTCCAGTCTGCCACCAGTCAATGTCTTGTTTGACAAGATAGACGTAGAGAGTATACATATGTCTTAGTTCTAGAATACATATAAGGAGGAGTCTAGGGTGTAGATAATGAGGTAGGGTGATAGTATAGACAGTCCAGTGGGTAAGAATATCTTTACGACCCAGTGCAAAGCCAGTTTAAACTAATAATTCCTTCAGGTACTGTTTGTAACTGCACCAGGAAAAGAAATAAGGGTCTTACTGGGGCCCACTCATGAGTAATTGCTAGGCACAGTGTCCTTGGGCTGAGGAGAAACTGCCAGGGATAGTGTTTCTGAGGCTAGGGAGAAATTGGGGTCCAAGCAAAAGCACCCAAACACAAGCACCCAAGCACCCCGTCACATCCTTTCCACCACTTCTCCCGTGTAATCACTGAATTCCAGTGCGTTGCTGCCTATTCATGTCCACCATGACCCTCTCCATTGCCCTCTGAATGATCCCCAACTTCACCACTTTAGCAACTGTCTGGTTCCATGATTAGCAATGTCCCCAAAATATTTGTTTGGAAAGACTGGCCTTGTGGATGGAAGAATGGCTGAATGAATTGTGATACAGAAATGTAATGGAGTATTATTATTAGAAAGAACATATAAGAATTCCGAGAAACCTGGGAAAACATCAGTAAATTGAGAGAAATAAGCATAAAAAGGAAAACAATGCACACAATCGCTACAGTAACGCAAACTGAAAGGCACTCTCGTTCCCCTCCAGAAAAATGAAACTGAACATTTCCTAATTGTAATCATCAAGCTCAGCCCAGAAGAGGTAAGAAAATAAATTGCCTTCCCTTCTCTGGAAGGTGGGAGCCCAGGGATGTGGAATATTAGATTTACTGCAAGGCTCGGTTTATCATTGGTTGTTTTGCTGCCTTTTTCCTCTTTCATTTATTCATCTTTTGCACAAAATATGGCTTGAAAGATGGGGGAGGGATATATCTAAAATGAAGGCCACCTGAAGACAAAAAGGTCCGTAAGATTTTAAAAATGCAAATAATCTAACAAAAAGACAGTTCTTTCTTACAGAGAGAAACAGTAATTTAAAAAAAAATAAACTGCAATTTCTCACAGACAACCTGGACCAGTCAGCTGCTCCAGTTCAACGTCAGCCTGCAATTAGGCCCAAAGCCCATTGGTGGAAAGCAACGTCCCGCCCCTTGCACGGGCTTCTCCGCCAATGAGAAGGAAGTCCAGCCAGTGGACCGTGGGGCTGCAGCTGCGCAGGCTCTCGGTCCTACTCCCAGTCTGGACAGCAAGTAATTCTTAACCCCTGACAGGGACGGACAGGGACGG